CGTGATTTACGCGCGGTTTTTGACCAACATTTATGGTAAGTAGAATTGATTTTTATGATTAAATAATTAGATTACCTATATTAGTAATATTTAAATGAAACGTAGGTACTTTAGAACATAATAATGTATATAAATACAAATCCTACTAATATTATAAATGCGAAAGTTTGTGAGCTGTGACATACAGCTATGTAGGTATGTTAGTTACTCTTTCACGCAAAAACCACAGAAAGGATTTGGCTAAAATTTGGTACAGAGATAGTTTATAACCTGGATTAACACATCGGATAGGTTTTTATCCCGAATTCATGTTCCCGTGGGATAATTTTCGAGTTGTAGTGGGTGAAGCCGCTGCGCTGGCAACAGCTAGTATTGATAAATCATTGTTAATACATATAAGGTTTCAACAAATAATTTATCCTAAAATATTGATGTAAACAACTTCTACTTATAAATTCTACTTTTCAGATGTCTCGACAACGACTGAGTGGAGGTAAACCAAAAAATAACGATCCATACGAACGAGAAAATGAACGCATTATGAAATTGTTCAATGATTCATCAGATGAGTTATCTTAATCTTCTTAAAATTAAAATTATATTAAAGATTTTAATTGCAATGTCGTTTAGAATGATTAAAATTAAGGAAAGTTTATATTGTGATTAAAAGGGTAATTTTTATATTGAAATAACTATTGTAATGTCGATGTAATTTTTCCTACATTAAAATAAATAAAACCTTGTGTTTTTATTATCTACTGGTGTTCTTTTTATCATAATTATTTTGAAACTTTGTAGAAGGGATTAATAATATTGATGGCTATAGTCGCAGTATGCTGTATTTGAATAAAATAACCGTTTACTACTGACGTAACGACTGATGCCTTTGAAGGCTATAGCCGGTGCGTCCTATTTGTATAGTCAAAGACTACATACCTGTGACGTAACGTTTGGAGCAGGCGAAGGCTATGGCCGGTGTTGTCTTATTTAAATACGTTGTCTTTTTTACCGGCGACAGTACGGCTATAGCCTTTCATACAAAAATCTTGTGTCAAGATAGGGTTACAAAATCAAGCAAAGTGTCCGCGAACGTGTTAAGATTTACCGACATGAGTTGGTAAATGTAAGTATTTCTGAAGATACGACGATTTTTTCGAGCTTTTACCATTCGAACTCAGTATATGCTAGGTTTTACCACTGTCAGCTGGTAGATGTTGGTTTTGGGAATAAAATAATGAGTAATTCTTAATTATTTACTTTGAACTATTAGACAAAACAGGTACATGGTATTATAAAGATATCATAATGATAGCAACAAATACAAATATTGAGATACTACTAGCAAACGGTGAAGTAATTCTACTATATAAAATTATGTAGGGTTTTCCTTCCTGATGCTATAACTCCAGAACGCACGAACCGATTTCCACGGTTTGCATTCGTTGGTAAGGTTATCAACTTATTTAAATTATTTTGAAAGAACACATGACGTATATATCTGAATATTTCAATCTCTGTCATATCTATCTAACTGAATCAGTACTTCTCTATTTGGAATTTAACAACGAAATACAAACATAAATTTTATAAAAGCTAGTCTAACTTAATTATTATATTTTTCTAATTATTTGGTTTAGAAGTAAATAAAGACAATCAAATGTAATTGATTAATAGGTAAGGTTCCTAAAAAAACATTATCTTTAATGTTCCTTCTTTTAATGTTCTTTGCAGTTTTTACTTCCTCTAAACACTTAGCGTATTTGTCTTTATCGAGATAAAAGTTATTATCTTTTTGTTTGGCACAAGCTCGTCCATTATTTTATAAAATCTCTGCTGCACGAGTATTTAAAATCCAAAAATATAATTGTAAATTCATTTATCGCGCGAGTTCAAACGTGTCAAACGAGCGACTGAGGCGAGCGGAGTTGCGGAGACCGCTCGCGGGTAGCGGGGGCGGCAAGCTAGAAGTAGATGCGCTGAGCACATTATGACATGTTTTGTTTTTCAACATTTACCATGCCATTGATGTAAATCCTAAGATTTACCAACGGAATGGTGGTAAAAGTTCGAATCGCAAATCTTTTTGGACATTTACCATTAGGAATTGGTAGATCTTAGGTTTTACTGGAATATCTTAGGATTTACTGCGGTTCGAGCTTTTACAGTAACATATACATACTTAAAACTGGTTCACACTGGCGACATGCCACGTCGTGACATTGTGCTATTGAAATAAAGTAACATGAATTCTAAACCCATTTATTATTTTTAATCAATTTTTAGTCAATTTGAAATATTTTTAAATAGATAATTTTGGGTTGCTCTGCTGCCTCGTTGGCCGAGTGGTCGCAGTTGCGACTGCCGGGCAAGGGGTCTTGGGTTCGATTCCCGGGTCGGGCAAAGTATTACTGGGTTTTTCAAATAATCTTAGTAGTAGCACGGAGTCTGGAATTGTGCCCGGTATATGGCAATAGGCTCACCCCCTATTACATGGGACTTATAACATAAATAGTGAAAAGTGGGTGTTACATTGTACAGTGGCATTAAGTGCCGTAATGTACACCTCTGCCTATCCCTTCGGGGATAAAAGGCGTGATGTTATGTTATGTTATAATTTTGGGTTATGATGGGGCTGACGTAGCCTATTCATTAAAAGCCCCGAAAATAAAATAGAATAAATAAATCTAAACTCATTGAAATATGACTCAAAATAAGTTGATTAGTGATAAAATCTTTTGTTGTGCAGTGCGCTTCTTCTTAGTCGATTTCCTCACTGCTGAGGATCGTGACTCCCTCTGATTCTGCTCACTAGATGTCGCCACTTATCACATTTCGTTGCTTGGTGCATTGCAACATTCATAGGTATCTCCAGTTCCTTGGATATTTGGTCACACCACCGTATGGGATTCCGGCCTCTCGGTCTCTTTCCTTCTACCTTACCAGTCACTATGAGGCGTTCCAGACTGCCAGCATCTCTGCGAGCAATATGGCCAAAGTATAGCACAATCCTTTGCAAGCAAACTGTGGACAAGCGCTCAGTTTTGTCCATTTTTAGGTCTTTCAGAATAGAAACATTTGTACAGTAAGCTGTCCACGGAATCTCCAGCATGCGGTATGCACAATGATTTAAAACGCAGACGCCACTTGCCTGCCGCAGACACCGCTGCGAATGAAGCCATAGACCTTTTTTTTGAGGGGGGAAAATTATCCAATTACTTCTCCCGCCTTTAGGCGAGAGGGAGTGTCAGATTCTTACTGACTAATAACCACCCCGTTCCTACTTCTGTTTTTCGAGCCGAAGCCCCGGCAATCTGTTAGGCCTTCCGCGGCTCCGCCAATACGGAGCCATCAGCCCTACTGGGCCCCATTTGTGGTGGTCTGATGGGTCTTTGTGTCAACGGGGATGGTTCTGGTCGGGCGGCAAACTACCCTTGCTCACCGTCCTCAGGGGGCTTTTCAATTCAATTCCGATCGATCAACATTGGTATTGTGAAATTTCGTACTTTTGAGTTACAAAACTAGCGCCCAATGCTTCCGTATTGTGTGGATATTGAATGCAATAAATGGTATTGAGTTTGGCTTTATATTTCGTACTCTGAATGCTATTTCAATAACTATGATAGGGGTTGTGTAATTTTTACATTAAATAATTATTGGATGGAAATTGCATTGACATTGCGACGCCCGGAGTATCTCCCGCGACGTCTGGGAGACCTTAGACCAAGATCAACAATTGTTGTGTATTGTGCATGTTGTTTGTCACGGTGTATGCGTGGTATATTTGTACCGGTGTGCAGACATGTCGGGGTCGGAGTGGAGCGTGTCGGTGCGGGGCGCGGCGGGCGCGCTGGCGGCCCCCGCGCTGCAGGCCGCGCTGCCCGCCGCGCCCGCGCCCAGCCACGCCAGGCCCTCCACCAGCAACCAGGTACTTCTCGACTTATTACTTTTTGTATTACAAAAACCTGAACAGAGGCCTTAGTACGAGTTTGACTTACGTTTAAATTATTCGAAACGAGTATGCGTTCGGCACTCTGATTGGCCGGCACCAATGAAGCAACCAATCACAGCGCCGAACGCGTACTCGTTACGATTACTTTAAACGTAAAACAAACTCGTACTAAGACCTCAGTTCGCCTCGAACACAGGCGCAAAATCGCAAGCCTTTCGGTCTTCTATCGGATACATTTCGGTGAGTGTGCGTGGGAATTGCACAAACTTATTCCCCCTAGTCCATTTCACCGCCGTACCACCAGGCGAACGGCGGGACGCCACCCTTATATGGTGGACATTCCACCCATTCGAACGAAGCGTTTCGCGTCAAGCTTCCTCATGCGAACCGCTAAGGAATGGAATTCTTTGCCAGAGGCTGTGTTTCCCGCCAAATATGACTTGGGTGTCTTCAAGTCCCGAGTGAACAGGTTGCTCATAGGTAGGCGTGCTCCATCGTCGGCCACATCATCGCTTACCATCAGGCGAGATGGTGGTCAAACGTCGACCTATAAAGTAAAAAAAAAAAAAAAAAAAAAAAAAGTTAAGGAACTACTCCTTCGAAATGTATAATTCTTTTTCGATAACACATTTATAGGGGAATGCTATAGGTTAAAACAACACGCTCCGATCAAATGAAACCAAGAAGAACGGGCGAATGCGTGGAATTAGCTAATAAATCATTAAGTCAATCTAGAAAATTCATAACCTATAGCGAATAGTCAAAAGCAAATAACAGTCACTTTACTATACTTTAACTAGTCTTTCGTTAAAATTTGTTGTAACTAACAAAAGGTCTGAAAGAAAAGCTTTTCTAACTTTATTATACATGGAATAACTTTAAAATATATTTTTGTATCAGGTACAACTACACACGCAATCAGAAGACACGATCCCGGTGAACGAGTCCATCATATCGTTGCTCCTCAAACTGCACTCACAACTGTCAGGACGACTTGACTCGTTCTCCTTGGACGAACCCGCGCCAGACACACAGGAACCTATCGGTAAGGGAAATATTACATAATTATGTACTACTATCAATTGTCGGTAAAGTTAATATGACATGATGAGGCGTACTTAATGCAGTGTTACTCATGAATATGAGGTCTCATCGTGGCTTGGAACTAGTGAACCAGTGATCTCTTGTTTATATTATAGTATTTTGAATTGTGTTAACTGTAGAATGTGTGTTGTGCAGGAGACGGCCCCTACTTCATCGGCGGCGTCCTCCGCAAGTTGGCGGCCCTGGACGCGCGCTGCGGGGCCGCCATCGCCCACGTGCGGCACTCGCTCTGGCCGCACCAGCGCGAGCGCCAGGCCGAGCAACGCGCGCGGTAACTCGCTGCGGCTTGGCTACGTCATTGGAGCCTCATGTCCACTTGAAAAGGCTTTTGATAGAGATATCTCAATACCCTTAATCCCCACGCTCAGATCATCAATTATTTGCGTTTTTTGGCATAAGTTTTATGTTAGAAAAAGACTCAAGGTCAAAGTTATGTCACCAAAACTTTAGAGAACTGAGGCTTTAGTAGTTTTTCGTACTCGTAATAAGTCCTTTGATCAGTCTAGAGCAGTTTTAAGGGTTCGTGTACACGACGCGACGTACTCTGGTATAATCCAACGACGCAACGGCGACGTCGTGTTGTGTAACCATAGTAACTATGTTATACAGCACAGCGGTGTACCTAGTTTCACCGCATTAGGCGAGTTATTCCAAATTTTAGATAGTTGTAGACCAAATACGTAACTAACTCTATTCTAAACAGAGAGCGTCGCGAAAAAGAAGAACGATCCCGTCGCGCTCGGGAACGTCAAGCACAAGTAATGAGAGACTTCCAACGCCGGCAACAGCAGTTCATGTCGTCCATGCACGGGCTGGACGAGCCCGGCGCCATGGACTGGGACGAGGACGCGCTGCCCAAGGACTACGACTGCGTCATCTGCAACACCACGGCGCCCACCACGCCCGCCGACCCCATCGGGCTCGTCGTGCTACTGCAGGTACGGGACGACGGAACAGCTACGTCATCACTACTTGTTATACGTCGAAGGTCTTTGTATGAGTGTGTTTTACGGGTAAAGTAATCGTAACGAGACCATGTTTGGCGCTCTGATTGGCTGGCTCCAATGAACCAATCAGAGCGCCGAATGCGGTCTCATTTCGATTAATTGAAACGTAAAATAAATTCGTACTAAGGCCTAATTTTCTGATCAACGCTCATGTTGGGGCGTTCGCAACGTACATACATAGGGAGAGGCGTATGTAACACACAATATATCCTTATTTTTAGCAAGATTTTTTTCTTTTTTTTAATACTTTATAGGACGCACTTTATATGCACATTATTAGACAAGAACTTAGGTGTTCTTCTATCTCGGTGAAGGTCGTTCAAGGTCGATCGTATGCATAATTTATATAGCCTGAGATCCCGCCTTCAACGGCCTTCATCTAGATCCTTATCTGATGAAACATATTTTATATTTAATTTAATGTGTCAATAATTATATTCCATATGGGTTGCCTAATAAATTTCAGTCCAGAACATGATTAATTAATAATTTAAAAAATACTTTTACTTAAAAAGCAGCTGTTATGCCCTGTCCTCTTCTAACGCACGGAATGGTTGCTTAGGACCTCTCAGTCGTACCTATCCACTCCCGGAAATATTTCACTTTTTAATTCGACAACCCTAATTCAGGACTGATTTTTCGCTGGCAACTCTATTTTACCGTGTTCATAATTAAATAATCTTTATTTTGATTTCAATTTGATTAAATTATCAGACCGTTGCAAAATCCTACTATCAATTTACCTGTTTAGACCTGGCAACCCGAGAGTTATGACTGGAATACAATAGGCAACCTAATGTTTCCATATTCTATGGGCTTCATACTTTCGATTGGAATGGAATTTGTTTAATAGTCAAACCGGTGACACATTTGATAAAAAGTATTTTTTAAATTATTAATTAATCATTTTCTGGGCTGAAATTTATTAGGCAACCCATATGGAGTATAATTATTGACATATTAAATTAAATGTAAAATATGTTTCATTAAATAAAGATCTCGGTGAAGGTCATGCAAGGCGGGATCTCAGGCTATATAATATGCATATTTAGCAAGGGAATAATAAACCTAGGAAAAGCTTAAAATACGTGTCAGATAAGTTGGAAAATAATCTAATGGACGCCACATACGCTCGATTATGCTCGCGCGCAAATATAACATTAGTTTACCGAGCATAAAATATTAGTTTTGATATTTGCTCGGTTGCATGTACGGTCCAAGGTCAAAAGTCCACCGTAAGACTACTATTGGTTGCGCTGCAGCGCTTATCCACACATGCACACGCATATTTGTATCCGTGTGCGTACGCGTGCGTGTGTTTATGCGTACGCACGCGTTTTTATGCACATTAATGTGAAATTACTTACGCATTGCCGCGTGAACATCACTCACGGTGGCAGTGGACTTTTGACCTCTGACTGTATATGCACCGATAACTGTACAGTTTAGTCACATACACGCTTGGACTTGCCTGACGGTTATGAATGTACAGTTACAACCATCATGCATAACCTAGCGTGTGTGGCCAGCATAAGAAATTGTAGTTTAAAATGTGTGATTTCGCGAACAGTCGACGTCGGTGCTGGGCCACCGGCGGCGCGCGGGCGGCGGCGACGCGCGCCTCGCGCTGTCCGAGGACGAGCGCGCGCGGCTACTGGCGCAGCACGACACCACCGCCGCCGCGCACCACTACCGCCTGCACGACGACCTGCACCAGCACTTCGACCAGGTACACGCTACTCTACTACTCACTCGGCGTCATGCGACACTACACCACGCCCGCCGCGCACCACTACCGCCTGCACGACGACCTGCACCAGCACTTCGACCAGGTACACGCTACTCTACTACTCACTCGGCGTCATGCGACACTACACCACGCCCGCCGCGCACCACTACCGCCTGCACGACGACCTGCACCAGCACTTCGACCAGGTACACGCTACTCTACTACTCACTCGGCGTCATGCGACACTACACCACGCCCGCCGCGCACCACTACCGCCTGCACGACGACCTGCACCAGCACTTCGACCAGGTACACGCTACTCTACTACTCACTCGGCGTCATGCGACACTACACCACGCCCGCCGCGCACCACTACCGCCTGCACGACGACCTGCACCAGCACTTCGACCAGGTACACGCTACTCTACTACTCACTCGGCGTCATGCGACACTACACCACGCCCGCCGCGCACCACTACCGCCTGCACGACGACCTGCACCAGCACTTCGACCAGGTACACGCTACTCTACTACTCACTCGGCGTCATGCGACACTACACCACGCCCGCCGCGCACCACTACCGCCTGCACGACGACCTGCACCAGCACTTCGACCAGGTACACGCTACTCTACTACTCACTCGGCGTCATGCGACACTACACCACGCCCGCCGCGCACCACTACCGCCTGCACGACGACCTGCACCAGCACTTCGACCAGGTACACGCTACTCTACTACTCACTCGGCGTCATGCGACACTACACCACGCCCGCCGCGCACCACTACCGCCTGCACGACGACCTGCACCAGCACTTCGACCAGGTACACGCTACTCTACTACTCACTCGGCGTCATGCGACACTACACCACGCCCGCCGCGCACCACTACCGCCTGCACGACGACCTGCACCAGCACTTCGACCAGGTACACGCTACTCTACTACTCACTCGGCGTCAAGATAACGGGCAGACTGGTATGGTATATTTTGGTGGAAACAGAGATATAAATGGCAAATCATTACAAATGACCCAATATTGAACCTTGAGGAACGCCCATATTCATCCCAGAGCTCTGTGAGTTAATAATGTTAACATGAACCTTTAACTGTTTTTCTTCTAAATAAGATGTCATAAGACGGAGCGCGGTTTCTTATCCCGTTGTGATCTAATTTCAGCAAAAGTGTCTCGTGATCAACGCCATCAAATGCTTTTGTGAGGTCACAAAGACCAATAGCACTAACAATCCCGTGCGTGCAGGAGTCGTGGCTGGTGTCGGTGTGCGTGGGCTGGGAGGGCGGCGTGCACGTGCAGTCGTGCGGGCACCACCTGCACCTGCGCTGCCTGCACGCCTACCTGCGCGCGCTGCAGGCGCCGCAGCGGCCGCACAACCTGCACGTGGAGCGCGGCGAGTTCCTCTGTCCCGTGTGCCGCCAGCTCGCCAACTGCGTGCTGCCGCTGGCGCCGCGCCCCGCGCGCCCGGCGACTCGACCAGGAACACCCGCCGCCCGTACGTCTGCTTCCCTCGGCTTCGCATCATTTATTGTCGAGGAAAACACTCTACAACACTTCATTTTCTAGGCACCCAGTCGACTATCAGAGGCGATGGGGAAAGCAATGGAAGACATGACGGCCACGGCCGGCGGCAAGCTGAAGCAGCGCTACGGGTCGTCCCCGGCCGCCATCTTTACCTTCGTGGCGTCCCTGGTGCGCACCAACCTGGAGTGCGAGCTGGTGCAGCGCGGCGGCACGCTGCAGACCTGCGTGGCGCCGCGGTACAAGCTGCGCAACGAGTGCATCGGTATGTAGCTACAACCACATTCAAAACTAAACTAATGTTCTTCATCTTTGTAACTGCTATAGAGTACTGTTTACCTATGTAAAAGGTATCGAGTAATTTCTTAATATTATCACAGTCTATACAGTCTTCAACGAAGTCGTCTAGACAGGGCAATCGTGCGGGTTGTTTAGGGGCGAGACGCGGTTAAGCCGATCCCGAGCTGCGAACAAAACGATGTTAGTAGCTTGGGATATATTATTCAAGGCCAACGCGTGTTTGTTGTTGACTTCAAAAAAAGGAGGAGACACTATATTCGAATAATTGTTTCTTTTTTTATGTATGTTTGCCGCTGCATGAAATGTACATTTTATCGCCATGGGTGTCGTTTTCGTAGTTTTCGAGCGTGGTAAAACCAATGGCTGTCAAAATTTAAATCCAAGATGGCTGCTGCATGAAATTTTCAATTTATGGGTATTGTTTCCACGGTTTTCAAAGGTGGTAAAACTGATGGTGCTTTCGAAATAACTTTTTAACGGTGTACAGTAACTACATTGTGTTTGGGTTTGTATAATTTGTATTGATTACAACTTTGTACCAATGTGGATTATAAGAGGCAAAACGTGTCTATGTACTAAAAATGACAAAATAAAAAAATAAAAATTGCGTTAAAAAAACCCAATTCTTAAAAAAAACTAAAAACAAATAAAAAGTAAAACTAAAACAAAAAAAATAACTATATTAGTACTGATGAGTTACTTACCCACTGACCGACTTCTAGTCGGTGCCATAAGCTTTTATTTTTGATAACCCTGGCCGATGCGTTACTGTCTAGATGATGTCGGCATTCACGAGATCAAAAGCGTCGTCCTACTGTATGTTTTTTATACCGTGGTATTAGTGTGAACCTCGTGATAATGAAGTAATGTGTGTGCAGTCCCGCTCCTGGTGGTGGCGGGCGCCCACTCGCGCGTGCTGGCGTCGGCGGGCGCCGGCTTCGGCGCCGCCGAGGCCTGGCGGCTCCTGGCGCCCGGCGACGAGGCGGCGGGGGCCGCGGGCGCCGCCGTGCTGTCGGGCGCGCCGTCGGCCCGCCCCGTGCCGCTGCTGCTGCGGGACCCGCTGGCGCTGCTGATGCACTTCCTGCTGCTGGCGCCGCCGACGCCGCCGTACCTGGACATGGAGGAGTTCACGTGCATCGTGCGCGTGCTGTACTCGCTGAGCTACTACCAGGTGGTGTGCCAGCTCATCGCGGGCTACAGCGCGGAGGGCCGCGCCGCGCTGCTGGGCGCGCCGCGGGCCGCGGAGCCGGCCGGCCTGCGGCCC